TAGTTCCTGAGCGAAGCGATAGCTGCTGAATAATGACTGAAGGGACCTTATGAAGGGAATTATGATTGGTGTCGTGATCCTATAGGTAGACGTGGATCGGCTGAGTGTCAGCTGATGCGAGCTTGACTAACGTGACCTGCCAGAACTAACACTACACTCCATTTGGCTTATGCAACTTCTCCGGATCCTGAAATTTACAAAAAGAGACTCAAACTTCAGTCTGATTTTAATATGTTATCAACTCACCAGGCTGAAAAGTTACTGCTGAAATCCAAACAAGTATTTTTTGAACATGGCGAAAAGCCAAGCAAACCTCTTGCATTTCACTTAAAAGAAAAGAGCTAAAAAATGTAATTTCCCAGATTCGGTCCTCTGATGGTAATTTGATGACTGATCCTAAAAGTATTACTGCATATGTAACGGAGGCCAGCGAGTAGGTGCTGTGCAGGTTAAACCTCACTCCCCTGATCTCAAGAGACGCACTAGCGACTGACGCTAGAGGCTGCAGTCATTTAGCCTCCTTGTTAGTATTGCGTCCGCCTCCCATGCCGGAGACCCGGGTTCGAGACCCACTCGAAACAAGAACGAGTTGTGGCGGTGAGGACCCGGGGGAGAGGGGTGACACATATTTTAAAGATTATTATTCTTTACTATACAATTCTGAATCTCCCTCTGATGGATCCCTTATGGAAAGTTTTTTTTTCTAACATTTGCCTATACCTACAATTTCAGACACTATGAGAGAAGAGTTGGAATCACCCTTTTCCACAGAAGAGATAGGTCAGGCTATCTAGAATATGCAAAATGGCAAGACCATTTGAAGTTTTCTTCAAAAACTTTTAAAAAGTTCACAAAATCTCACTATACGCTGATGATGTGTTGCTCTATATCTCTGATCCGGCTGTTTCTTTACCCGATATCCTGAGAATTATAAATTATTTTACCCTCTTTTCTGGTTATAAATTGAATGTAAGTAAAAGTGAGATTTACCCTATAAATTCTCAAATTTCTAATTTACCGACAAGCGTTTCAGTGTTCAAAGTTGCTTCTCATAGTTTTACATACTTAGGAATAACAATTACTCGTAAGTGCTTAGATCTCTTTAAAGCTAATCTCGCTGGTCAGCCCTCCCCATTTCTCTGGCTGGACATGTGAACTCAGTAAAGATAAATATTTTGCCTAGATTTCTGTATTTATTTCAGTGCATTCCAATTTCTATATCTAAATCATTCTTTAAGACTTTAAACCAACACATCACATCTTTTATTTGGAACAAAAGACCAGCCAGAATTCGGAGGGACATACTTCAGAAACCAAAGGTTGAGGGTGGGCTTGCCCTTCCTAATTTCTTATTTTACTACTGGGCGGCAAATATACATTCTACACTGTTCTGGTTTCAGAGTAATTTCGGCTCTGTGATTGGGTCCCAGCTTGGGTCAGTATTGAAGAGGGTTCTTGCTCCCCAGCCTCACCAGCCGCACTACTGTGTGGCCCTCTTACTGCTATCTCACGTCTTCCATACGGAAATACCATTGTCCGGCAATCATTACGAATTTGGTCCCAATTTCGAAACCATTTTGGCCTCCAACATTTGCCATTGGTTTCACCTATTAATCATAATTCTATATTCCCCCCTCTCTTAATGATAAAGCATTTAATATTTGGCAGAGAGCAGGTATCGCAGTTGTCAATGATATCTACATTGATAATATTTTTCCAAGCTTTTCTCAGTTAACACAAAAATTCACCCTTCCTAGTGTTCACTAGGAAGTCGTGGCCTAATGGTTAGAGAGTCGGACTCATAACCCAAAGGTTGCGGGTTCGAGTCTCGTACCAGCAGGGATTGTTGGTGGGGGGAGTGACGGTACAGCGCTCTCTCCCACCTTCAATACCATGACTGAGGTGCCCTTGAGCAAGGCACCGAACCCCCTACTGCTCCCCTGGCGCCGCAGCATAAATGGCTGCCCACTGCTCCGTGTTTGTGTTCACGGTGTGTGTGTGCACTTTGGATGGGTAAATGCAGAGCACTAATTCCGAGTATGGGTCAACATACTTGGCCACATGTCACGTCACTCACACTTCACTTTTTTCGATACTTGCAATTTCGATACTTGCAGCTTTGTTAAAAACGAATTTCCCAACTTTCCGAATCTTCCACCAAAATCCCATCTAGATCAAATACCCATAGATAAAAAGGGTATATTGTCTACTCTATACAGGCTGAACTCCTCTATTTCTACCCCATGTCTCTCTCTTATTAAGCAACAGTGGGAGTCGGACCTCTGCCTCACATTTGAAGATGAGATCTGGAGCCAGATCTTGTCCTGTATCCATACCTCTTCTATTTGTGCATGACATAGTTTTATCCAATTAAAATTTATTCATCAAATTTATTGGACAAAAGTGAGGTTGGCAAAAATTTGACACAATGTTGACCCTATATGTGAACATTGTCATCAGGCCCCTGCAGACTTAATACATATGTTTTGGTTATGTCCATCTATAACTTCTTTTTGGCTATCAATTTTTAAATGTTTTTCCTCGGTGACAAAATCACGGATCAAGCCTTGTCCATTGGTTGCATTTTTTGGACTTCCTCAAAATGTCACAGGTTTGCCTGGATGTTTTGCAAAAGCTTTTGCTTTATTAAAATTATTAGCTAGACGGCGTATTCTTCTGCTATGGAAACAAAGTCTTCCTCTATCTTTTGATGACTGGCTGCGAGATATTATTCATCTGGAAAACATTAGGTACACAATAAAGGGCAATACTGGCATATTTTCTGAAACTTGGGACCCTTTTATTAGTTTTTTTTTCCTGATTAGGTGAACTCTTCTTCTGTAGTCGCCCAATCTAATCATTAAGTTGTCCTTATGATTGTGGTTTAATTTTGATCAAAAGTGTATGGAGTACCAGTATGTGCACTGTATGTACTTAATTTTTTTTTGTAATGTTTTGTTTGCTCATGTAAATGTGTACAATGTATCTATATCTATTTTTTTTATTATCTTTTTTTTTTTTTTACTCCGAAAAGGTTATTCTGTACATAGGTGACATACACTAATTATGTATTGAGGTTTTTTTTTTATGTTGGAGGTAATGTGGGGGGAAAAATAAGATCTCTGTTTATTACATGCTGGACACTGATGATGTGGACTTCATTCAACACAACAGTTCCCTGCCTCCATCTGCGCACACCTCTTTGAGAGGATCCACTGTCCACCACGCTGACCTGACGGCCTCTTTTTAAAAAAAAATAATTGGTTTCTTTGCCTTGCAGTTTATCATGCTCTGTTGAGAAATGCTCACACGCATCCGTGACCTTTTAAAATAAGTAGTATTTTTCTATTTTAAAGATCCTCACATTCAAGACAAGAGTCAATATTTTTTGTTTTGCATGGATAAATTCATAAACTAGGAAGCTGTTTTCTATCTGCACAGCGGCACTCTGGGCTTTAATGAGACCGAGTGTTTTTAATTGAAGGCCACAGAGTAAATTGCAGGCATCTGCTTAAAACTCATTTCTGCCTGTCCTTGAAGAGAGAAAACCATGAATGCAACACTATGTGGCCCTCTAAAGACACACTGAGTGACAGACTCACCCTGCAGTTCCCCAGTTCTTCAGCAGATAAGATGATAGTGCCGCAGTTCTTTCCCTGTATGCCCCTGAAATAGACAATAAAGATGACATCAAACTATAAGATGTTGAACTCATTGATTACACAACAGCAGTAATTAAGTACAACCCAAGAAAAAACACCATAAGGAGGTCTAGGTCAATAAGAACTATTCGATATGATTGGTTTTCTGTGCTAGTTTCAGGCACAAGAATTCCCAGGGCTAGTGAATTAACTTTCTGATGGTTTTAAACAAGTAAACTTTATCTTATATGGGCAACAAATTACAATGTAATGGCACAAAAAAACTAGGAAAACAAAATTAATAAGCAGTGAAGCACTTTTGTTAACATATTATAAAAAGATAAAAACTTTTCTTCACAAACTCAAAGTCATGTGGTGCAACCAAAAAAAATACAAATAAATAATAATAATAATAATAATTTAAAAATATATATATGGAAATGATATCAGAGAGTAAAGGTCAACAAGTTTCATTACCTTCTGATAATTGTATCTATTTTTAACAAGGTAGGGTTAGTTCATGATGTAAAATGTCATGTGGTGCAACTCCACACATTTTTTTAAATAATATTTATGACACAATAATGCATGATATTTGTAGTAAAAATGTTTTTAAACATAATTTCAATGTAAAAATTATTTAGAAAATGATTAAGATGTTTTATGTTATTCCACATTACATTTTGTTTAGTTGAAAAAAATATTTTTTAAACTATATATATATATACAGTATGTATTTTCAAAAGCATTTGAAACCACTATGAATACAATTCTGGAAACTAAAACATACATTTAAACCAATTAAAAAATACATACAGTCATATTTTGGACACAATTATTATTCATTGTCCCAGGGAACTATTAATTCATTACATTTATATAGCGCTTTTCTGGGCACTCAAAGCGCTTTACATTGTCAGGGGGATCTCCTCGTCCACCACCAGTGTGCAGCATCCCCCAGCCATATT